AATCAAATGGGTAGTACACAAAACACATGGATTATACTAGTTTAGGCACGTAGTGCCTTACGTCTAGTTTGAAGTAGCTTCTTTCTGGATTTATATGCTCGGTTACAAGGGCTGTTGCCTATAGCTATATGCTAGAATGTAGAATATGGGATTTCTAGCGGGAGGCCACTACCCCCTCCTCATATAGTCCGGGAGTAGAGTTACAATGGATCCGACTAACAGATGTGTTCCTAGTTTGTTACATGAAAATCATAACATATTGATTCTATCCTATCGCCTAGATATGTCACGCCGGATATACTCGGAATAACTTGACCTCTAAGCTTGTGGGTTCGCGCTGACCTAACGTGAGCCTCATTCCTCGTCATCTTCGGCCTAGTAGATAGGCATGGATCGGGTATACGGACGGTGAAGATTCCCCATGTTCATATATCTAACAACAACTTTTACCATTGCCCTCAACAAAAGTTTTAATACAAAATACTGTAAATCATATTTTCAATATGGTTGGGCTCTGTTAAGTCGTTCAACAGTTCATCAACGATCAGTCCAACATGATATAAAAAAAATTGATCCGTCCAGCAGAGCTCAACATCCAGTTGCAGTTTGAAAGAGGCCCGAATCACCGGCACGGCAACAATGGTCGGGCTCTGCACACTGGGGTTTGGACTTTGGACTGGCAAGGCGTAGAACATTGTCACATGGGCCCGTACGTCTCCTCTCAGAAAAAAAACTATAACTAATCTTATGGTCGCTAGAACGCCGACACTGTCTAGAGATCTGTGTGCAGGTTGCTGCAACGAGATGATAAAAAAAAGTAATATTGATATAAAAGAGAAAATTCGCTGCAACCAGATGCAAATATTTTGACTTTGATCGAGGCACCCGCGTGCTACGTACAGGACGTACAGCCGGTACAGGCCATGAGTCAAACTACAGACCACAGAGTCCAATTTTCTTTCGTTTGGGGATGGGGTCGGGATAGAAGGTCAGGATCTGAGAATGGTTTGTGTATGGTACGGCATTTATTTCAGACAAACTCAGAGTTTTGATTAAGAATTAATATTGTTCGTACGTTTAAGGCCAATCTCAATGGGATTTTACAGAGAGTTGACACACCCAAAAATTATTATATATCGGATACATTTGAAGAGGCTAAGTTCATAGGTATGTAAACACGATCTCGTACGACTCACCAAACCAAAGCTCGGAAGTTCCATTTTTTTTTTAAGAGGAGAACAAATATGTATCAATTGTTGAATCGGATACAACAATGGGCCAAAAAGGCCAAAGGGGCAATAAGAACTGCTGTTAAAAAAATGATAAACTTTTTTTTTATCTTTAGGCTATTCACTTTTCACGTGCTCAGAATGTTAGAGTTTTATGGGCATTAAATATGTTAACATGACACTGTGTTTATAAAATAAGAGATGATAAAAGTTTCAATGGGAGTAGAGAGAATTTCACGAGGATAAAACTCTTTTGCATTATTTTCCAACACATGAGAGTATTGAAAACTAGGATATAAAACTTCCACTGAGACTAATCTAATAACTAGTAGCACGTAACGAAATAAATGGTGTATCAATGGAGATGGATATACACTACCATAGTGATAACCTAGCCTACAGTTTTTTTTTCTTTTCCCTTGTCTAATAAAATCTCGGCAAAACTCTTGTCGCCTTTTAAAAAAAAATAACCTAGCCTTAAGGGGCGTCCCGACAAAATGAGAGGCCCCGTACGATACAATAAGTAGAGGCCTAATCTCTAGTGCCAAAACAAGAAAATAATGACATATATGGATGTATTACTTATATTATTACAAAGTATAGTAGTGTAGACTAAGAGCCTGTTCGCTGGTTGGTTTCTGGGCTGATAAGCCCGATTGATGCTGGTTTGTTGTGAGAGGAAAACAATATTGGTTGGCTGATAAGTTCTGGCTGAAGCCAACAAGCGAACAAGCTGTAAGGATTGTACATTTTAATTTCCCTATTCATATTTTCTAATCCAATTTGGAGAAGACATGGCTTGCAAGTTGGAATAATTAAACACTAGATTAATTGTGTACATAGATAATGCGCAAAAGATTAACTAAATAAAACAGGGCCTGGTCATGGAGTTCAACGGGCGATCGCGTCGACGATGTCCTGCATGGTAAATTGAGGACTGCTCTGGAGTCTTGACGAATCGTGACCTTCGTCTCTTTGTGTCCGGTCTAGGATTAGGACTGGAGCCCACATGTGTATATATAGCAGGTATATGTGTAAAATATTAATACAAACTAGTAGTTCAACCAAAACAACGAGTATGGATAAAATTGGTTGTTAACCAATGGATACGTATAAGATTGGGGAGGATGAAAAATGAATAACGATGAAGTAGATTTGGACATGAACAAGCATGGATCTGTCCATACCCTCTCCAATGACAGGGATGAGTGTCACGCATCCGCTCCATGACAAGGACACGCCATCCTCTAGAAATAGGAGAAGAATATATATGGTGGCTTGTATATTTATCTGCTTTCCAAATATAAAAAGACAATAATTCTAATTTTCCCTATTTATAGCTCTAAATATAAATATAGTAGCAGGAGAATATTATATGGTAAAACCCCTCAAGACCGACGGTTCACAGGAAAAAAATTCAATGTATTACAATATGGCCTCGACTGCTACTTAACACTAGTTCTGACAATACGTCGTTCCTTTCTTCTGAAGCAGAAAACACCGTGGTCCTCCTCGCGCACCGACACCCTCACCGCTAGGTCCACCCCTTCGCCGTCCCCAAAGTCCACCAAGTGATGCTGCGTGCGCAGCAGGGGGCTGACGTCGTGATGGTCCAGCACTCTGAGCTCTCCTGTCGTGAGGTCGATCGAGCTCCGCCACCCTGAGAAACATCATCGAGTTCATCCCCTTGTCGATGATGGCGCAGCGGTGCACTCGGACTCGCCCGTCATCGTCCGTGATGCTCACCTTCGTCTCGCAAAAAGGGAACGTGAAGATACCCAAATCGTGTCGTCGCGAGGAATCAACTTCTGTTTGGGGGCGCGACATGAACGGGAACGGAACAGGTTTCTGATGAGAAGCAAGGAACAAAGGGGATCATGGTCATGTCGGTGGCGCGAGGTGAACGGAACACAACAGCTAGGTTGCAGTCAACCGAGTCTCGAGCCGAGAGGAGACGACAAACGATGGCGCCGATGGCAGATAGAAAGGAATAGGAGGAAGTCAAAGCGACAAAGCGTACGTACATGATGAAGAATTGGAATCACTGCTGGTCTTTAGAATCTCAAAAAAAAAAAAAGTCGTAGCTCGTCGCGTTATGGGCCAAAGAAGATAGTTGCTGCTGATGCATTAATTAAAACAGAGTCCACAATTACTATACATACTTAGGGTACTTATTAAATCTCGGGGCCCTATAATTTTGGGGGCATGTTCCGTCGTACGGTCCGCACCCCTAGCCTATATGATTGGAGATCCCATAGAGTAGTAACCAGAAACAAACTAGTCCTTGATTATAAGGAGATGACCTTAGCAAGGTCCATGTTATTTGATATGCACTTCTCTTCTATGTTATATGGCAAGTGCTTTCTTAAGTAAAGAGCACTATAGAATATCTCACGAGAAACACACCTATATGAATGAGTTCAATTGCTAGCTACAGTTTATGAGTTCCGTAATGCTGGGTATAGGGCCTTCGTCCGCCCGAACGGTGGTGATGGTAGGTCGTGACACAGCCCAATAATCGCATCTTATCTGCTCATCCAACCGTTCTAAAAAAACGAAAAAAAAACTCACCTCACCGCAGCGCCGCGATAGCTCTCCGCGATGGCGCTCCGCTGCGCCGCCTCGGTGATGGCGCTCTCCATCGCGCCTCGGCTTCGTTGGTCGACATCTCCTCCGCGCCAAAGCACGGCAGCTCGTCTTCCTCCCTCTCCACCGCGCTGCCCGCCCCCGGGCTTCTCCAATGCACGGACCCAGTGCAACCTTCTCCACGAACCTATCGTGGCCTTCTCCACCGGAGCAGCGAGCTCCGCGCCACCATCGTGCTTTACACCGGTGAACTCCACGCATCGACAAGCCTCCATTCCCAAGCAGCAAGAAGATGTTGAGCTGAAAGCGCATGTTGCAAACATATGTTTTAGTGTTTTAGATGTTTCAAAGGTATGTTGCAAGTGTTTTAGATGGATGTTGCAAAAGTAGATCGAGATGTTGCATATGTTGCAAGTGTTTCATAGGCATGTTGGAAGTGTTTGTTCAAAGTGTTTTATCTATTTCAGACGTATGTTGCAAGCGTTTTGATCTGGATGTTACATATGTTTCACACATATGTTTCAAGAGTATGTTCCAAATATTTTAGCTGTTTCATTCTTATGTTGCAGTAAGTATTTTCACGTTGCAAGTGTTTTATCTAGATGTTGCATATGTTTGCCACATATGTTGCAAGTGTATGTTCAAAATGTTTTATCGCTTCAGATTTATGTTGTATTCAAGTGTTTCATGCTGCAAGTGTTTCCGTGTTTCAGAGGTATGTTCCGAGAGTCCTAGAGGCACGGCCTGGGGCGCTGGGGGAAGGGGCACAACGAGTCGGGGGCCAGCAGATGGGGCGCACGGCGCCCTGGGATCCTGTGGATGGGATGTGCTCGCCTCATCCAGGCTCCCGGGTCCCGCCGGCGCGGAGAGAGGAGGGGTCAGCGGGAAGGAGTGGCGGGCACAGCCAGGGTTTGTGTGCGGGGCAGGGCGAGGCGGATGGGGGACGGACGTGCGCATGTAGCAGCGGCAGGCGCGGGCGAGCAGGTTCGAACAGCAGCATGCGTGGGGGTGTCCGGACATGTTCATTTGTTCCGGACTTCCGCGCGCTAGTAAGTCCCTCATGAGTTTGGGTAGTCTCTGTATACTCGTGAAAGTCCATGGAGTTTGACTTACATACTTCAATTAGAGGGGATATTTTTGACAGCCTAATATCAATAATAGGACTAAGAGATAAAACAATTGACGTTAAACCATGGACTCCAAAGAATGAACGCCACACACGTCTTTAGCAGAGTCGTCGTCAATGGACGTCTGATTCCGGCCACACTGGAGGAGCCGATGGAATACCTCGTTCATGGGCGGCCTTGAGGACGGATCCTCGCCAGTGCAAATCACCCCGAGCTCGAACACGGCCACCCTGTCGTCCAGGTTGGCCGGGTCCTGAATTTCACCGTCGACCAAGTCCGCGCACGGGTCGCCGTTCTTGAACCGCTTCGACGCCCACTTCGCTAGACAGCTCCCGGAATCCGTGCCGCCGTCCTGTGGCCCCCTTCCTGTCGTCAGCTCCAGCAGCACCACCCCGAAGCTGTAGACGTCCACCTTCTCGCTCACCTTCACTCTGCTAACATACTCTGCAGCCAAAATCTCAAGTCAGGTACATCACAGGCCACACATGGAAAGCCTTAGCCTTCCAATGTCCTGGGCTCCTGGCACACACCTGGAGCAATATAACCGAACGTTCCGCAGACAGCCGACACCGGCTCCGATTCGCCGGACTTGGCAAGGATTCGAGCAAGGCCAAAGTCAGCGATCTTGGCTCGGAACCCACGGTCGAGCAAGATGTTGCTGCACTTGATGTCGCGATGGATGACGGGGCTCGTGAAGCCGTGGTGCATGTAGCTGAGGCCTCTCGCGACGTCGATGGCGACGCTCAGCCTCGTCGGCCAGTCCAGCGAGCCCGACGCCGCCGCGCGCTTGCCGCCGCGGCGGCGGTGCAGCCAGCGGTCCAGGCTCCCGTTCTCCATGTACTCGTACACGAGCAGCTTCGTGTTCGTGTCGCCGCCGGATATGCAGCAGAGCAGCCTGACGATGTTGCCGTGGAGGAGACCGCCCAGTGACCTCGCCTCCGCCTCAAACTCCTTGTCGTCGTTCGCGCCGGGCTTCCCGTCGTCGTTCCCGATCTTCTTCACGGCCACCGTCGTCGTCGTCGAGTGACCGGCCCCGCCGTCGCCACCGTGGTGTCCTCTTGCCTTGTGGCTGCTGCCGAGATGGATGCGGTACACCTTTCCTGACCCACCTCTGCCGATCAGATTCTCCTCGCTGATGTTGCTGATTATGTCTTGCGCGCCAAAATTCAGGGTACCGAACGGTATCATCTTCCACGACGTCACAGCCCTCGAGTTATTCTTGCGCCGGAGGACAAACCATCCCATGACAGCAACGAAGCTGATGGCAGAAATGCTGGAAATTGTTGCGGTTAGGATGATGATCATTCTGGCGGAACTATGACCTCCTCCATGGGGGCATATCCGGAGGAGCATGCCGGAGTCCTGTCTGGCGCACAAGCGAGGGTTGTCAAAGAAGGCGGCGTCGAACACTGGACTCTGTAGTGCGGCTGGCACCTCTCCGACGAGCTGATTGGACGAGAGATTCAGGTAACTGAGGTGGAGATTGTTGAAGTCCTCTGGTATTTCGCCGTCGAGCTTGTTGTTTGAGAGGTCAAGGATGGTGAGTACCGGGAGCAATCCAATGGCGGCTGCCGGGATCGCTCCCGTTATCTGGTTGCCGCTGAGATTGAGGTAATTAAGCATCTCAAGGGCTCTGATGGACACTGGTATGGATCCGCCAATCTGGTTCCCGGCAAGAGACAGCTCTGTAAGGTTGGCAAGCTTGGTCATGTCCTCCGGGAGCCCACGGGAGAACCAATTGTTCTCCGCCACGAAGTTTTTCAAGCCAGTGGCAGATGTTGGTATGGCGCCAGAGAATCTATTGTTTCCAATCTCAATCAGCGTGATCTTAGATGACACCTCTGCTGGTAGGACTCCAGTGAAGTTATTGTTCTGTATCATGACGGTGGTCAGATTGGGGAACGCCGACCATACTGTCCCCGGGAACTCTCCGGTGAAGTGGTTGTTGTACGCCATGATGTTGTTAACCGTGTCGCAGTCCCCGAGGATCGCCGGGAACACGCCGGAGAAACTATTGTTGAACACCACGATGTCGTAGAGGTTCTTGTTGAAGCAGAGTGTGTCCGGGAGCTCGCCGGAGAGGAAGTTGTTGCTCACTTCAAGGTTACCCAGCGGCGAGTGCTTCCCGAGCTCCGGCGGGAGGGGGCCGGAGAGCCTGTTGCTGAACAGCCGGATGTCCGCGAGGTTCGGGAGCCGCCCGACGCTCGAGGGGATCGGCCCGGTGAGGTTGTTGAAGTACAGGTAGAGCAACGACAAGTTCTTCAAACTGCCGATGCTCTCCGGTATGTGCTCGGTGAGCCAGTTCGTGGACAGGTCGATCTCTTGCAGGCTCACGGCGGTGATATCTGGCCCAATTGCACCGGTGAAGCTGTTATCGTAAAGGTACAGGATCTCAAGCTTCTGAAGCTTCCAAACCCACGGCGGGATTTCACCTTCAAGATTATTGTCGTACAAGGCCAACAGCGTCAGCTCAGTGAGCGACGACAGTTTGCCAGGGATGCCACCAGTCAGGTTCATCCCTGACATCCACAGCATCTTCAGCTTCTTCAACTTGCCAAACTCGTCAGGGATGGGGCCTGGCGTGAAGGGGTTACTTGCCAGGGTTAGCGTCTCGAGCTGCGTGAGGTTGCCGATGGCGGCACCCGGGTAGCTCCCATTGAAGCTATTAGTGTCGAGGACCAACGACTTGAGCTTCGGGAACCCGGCGATCGCCAACGGCACACTGCCGCTGAAACCGTTGCTTGACAGGTTGAGGTGCTCCATCGCCGACGACGACAGTTTTTTGTCGATGTCAGCTGGGAGGGCACCGGAGAAGTGATTGTTGGACAGGTCAAGGAACCGCAGAGCCGAGCAGCGATAGAGTGCAGCCGCCGGGAACTCGCCGGTGAGATTGTTGTAGGAGAGGTCCATGTACGTCAGGTTCTTGAGGCTGCAAATGGACACTGGGATTGGACGGCTTATGTTGAAGTTTTGGAAGGAGAGGGCGGTTACTTGGCCGTTGCTGCATGCAACCCCAGCCCATTGGCAGTGAGTGGACGAAGCAGAGGCACTGCTGTTCTTCCATGATCTGAGGGCAGCAGGGTTGCCCCAATCTTTCTTGATGGTCAAGAGAGCTCGGAGCTCGGCGTCGTTGGCGTGTGCCAAATCGGAGATGGAATTAAGCAAGAGAAGGATAAGGAGGACGACCATAAGGTTAGGCATGGCTACTCGTGATGGTGGATGAACTAGAGAAGCGTGTAGCAGTGTGTGAGAGTTGAGACTTCAATGTTGATAGACGAATGTGATGTGTAGTAGACCGTGGACTTGGGCTGAGTATGTGTAGCTGATGAAGCTTTGCCTTGCCGTGTTAGCTCCGGCTGGACTAATGACCTGGACCGGGTCATCGGTCAAGTCTACCTCTGTACCAAAATCCAAAACGGCCATCGTTCATTTTTTTCCTTTTTCTTCCCCCCTCCGGCGTTCTCTGCCTCTATGTAGTTTCCACTTTTTTCTTTTCTTTCATTTTATTGTTATTTTTTCATAATAACCTATCAATTTTGCTTTTATATACAAGGAATATTTTTTAAGATTTAGAAGTTTGTTTAGAACAAGTTATGTCAAAAAATTGTTAGACAATATAAACATGTGTATAAGCTATGTTATTCATACAATTTATTATACAAAAATTATGTCAAAACAATTATGTTAAAAATTGTTATGATAAATTTGTTCGCTAATAGTTATGAATAAAATTGAGTTATAAAATCATGCAAAAAAGTTGTCATGATAAATTATGTATAAAGTTACGTAAAAACGCATCGAAAAGGCTATGATAAAAAAATGTGGTAATAAGCTTTGTTTCACAAAAGTATGAGGTTGCTAAGAAATTATGGATAAGGTTTTTAAGTAAAATGTTATACACAAAAAATAAGAATGCAATTTTGTAATTTTCCAAAAACAGAAAGTTATGAAAATATTTTTTTTCGAAAAGGAAATGTTGCGGGTTGTCTAATCATACGCTGCTATTTTGTCAAGTGAACGTCTGTGATTAGCGCTTTCCCTAGTCTTATAAGTTGATAAGGGAAAGAGAACAAAAAATCAACATGTTGCAACAAGAACAACCAAGAGTCTTAGTAGTAGACTCAGGTTCTACGTTTGACTCCATGTGAGAACAAATTTTCTAAGGATTTAACGGCCTTGTGCATCCAATGAGTGATAGGTGGCGTTCCTGTTGACAACGAGATGCTTGTGGTGACTTCGTTAATCTCAGGAATTTGCCGATCTAGTCTTCGAAGAAGCTTATAGTGATAGAGCTTGCGTGCGTACATCCATAGAGATGAGTTTGTATGCATTGTAAGCGTTAATCTCAGGGATTTGCCGACCTAGTCCTCAAAGAAACTCATAGTGATAGAGTTTGCATACAATGTCATTTTATTTTTATTTGATAATAATTGTCCAATAGCTCAAAGATGATGCAATTAGTTTTTTTTATTTGTGTCAACATTTAGTACTACAAGCAGTTTTGTGACAGAAAATCTTCTTTTTGCATAGTGTCAAAATTGAGAAAAATCAACAAAACAACAACCGAGACATTGCCATCGCTTACTGTTTTGCATGTATCCAAGCGAAATTTATACGTTTCTTATTTTGAAAAACATGAGGGAATATAGGCAAAATAGGTGGTAAAATATCTTGCAATTGGATCTATTAGCTCTATTGTGATGGATAAACGATGGAACCCACGCTAACGAAGAAGTTGTTCTAGCACTCCAATAATATTAACTGTACACAGATTCGGTCATAATTTGCCGTAAAAAAACATGTTGGGAACTCTTCCAAAAGGAACTGAAGAAGAAACTATTATTAGGTTATATAAATTAAAAAAATCCAGAAGAGTTTCTCGATTTCGGTCTTTTTCGTTTTTCATCTTCTGTTTTTTTATTTTGCCAGTGCTTTTTTGTTTAAGCGTACTCAGTTATGTGTTATGTATCCTGTTCAAGTATCGATGTTCGCTATCCTAGGATCCGTATGTACGTGCCCGTAACCAAATTCAACGTATATTTTTATTCAGTTCCAACCGTGGATTTTCTAATTTTCTACCCTTAAAGGAAAGATTAGCAACCCTAGATAAATACTTAACATTCTTATTTTTGTTTTTCATAAATGTTTTGATTGCATGACACAGACACCTTGCTAGTAATATTAAGGCCACGTCTGGCATGGCTTCTCCACTAGTTTTAGAAGTTGTTTGGAGCCGTTCTCTACCACACGGGGTAAAAACAAAATAGCTTCGTCCGGCTTCACCTCGTCGGGTTCTGCATGGAGTTTTATGAGAGCATGTTTTAAGGAGCTTTAAATATGGAACTATTTTGCTAAACGGCTTATCAAGACGGCTCCAACTCCACCGATAAGCTGTTTATAGATCTAAAGCAAAAAAACTGGCTTCAACTAGTGAAATGAAGTCGTGTCAAACGAGGCCTAAAACTAGAAAAAATCTAAATTACTCCCTCTAAATTTTGCCTTGGTCTAGATAACCTCTTAAACTAAGATTTTGTTCAATTTAGATGCCGTTTGACATGGCTTCTACACCATCTTCGGGGAGCCGTAAATTTCACTCAGCACGGCTTCTCTACCGGCTTCAGAGCCATAAACTAACAGTCTGATTCAATTTAGGTCTTGTTTAGCAGAATTTTTTTTTACTAAATGAGTGAAAACAAAACTTAGCCTCAGTGATAACCTCCTAAACTAAAGTTTGAACTTTTTTTTTTACTAAATGAGTGAAAACAAAACTTAGCCTCAGCGATAACCTCCTAGACTAACATTTGATTCAATTTATTGCTCCCTCCAGCTATTTCACCAGTAGACGATAAAAAAGTACACGAACTCGCATGTCATACATTAAACACACTACTCCGTATATCGCAGTTCACACCCCGCACGGGAGCACCCATACAGTGGCAAACGTTATTCTACTGTAAACAGCTCAACGTGTCGCAAAGGCAGTACAGGGCGAACCCAAATAAGCAGAGCAACGGCTCCACGTCATCATTCCATCAAGCGAGCTTGCGCTTCTCCTCCTTGGCTCCTCCGGTGGCCTTCCCTTTCTCGCCTTCTACCGGGACGAGCTCCTCCTCGCCGGCCACGATCCCCTTGCCGTGCTGCGCGAGCCCAACCACCGTCGCGCCCACCGCCTCCAGGACGTCGCCCAGTACCGTCGTGTCTTCGTCTTGGCCACCCTGCATCACAACTAAGCCGTCAGCTACGCACACGCTTGCCGCAAAGAACAAACGCGACGTCGAACACCACCTTACGCGTGCACGTACCTTCGCCTTCGTCGTCGCATCGCCACCGCCACAGCCAGTCTTGCCGGTCCCTGACGCGCTTTCTTTCACTTCCCCTGCCTTCTGCTCATCAGCGCGCCAAGCGGTGTCCTTCGCCCTGTCCCCGGCCTGCGCAGCGGTGTCCCTCGACCTCTGCGCCATGCCGCCGGCCGCGTCCTTCGCCGTCTCCTTGGCATGTTCGGCGGTGTCACCCGCCTTCTGAAACATGGATACGGCTGTGTCCTTCACCTTCTCCTTGGCCTGCACGGCCGTGTCCGCGGCCTTACGCGCAATTTCGCCGGCGGTGTCCGTGGCCCTGTCCTTGTGCTGTCCGGTCATGTCGCGAGCCTTGCTCGCCGTCTGGGACGTCGAGTCCTTGGCCTGCTGCGTGGTTGCGCCACAGCCAGGCTCCTCCGCCTGGTCGGCGGCGCGGGCCTCGCGCTCCCTGCCTTGCTCCGCCTTCTCCTTGGCGTAGTCCGCCACCTTGCGCGCGGTGTCGGCCGTCACCTCCGTCGCCTTCTGCGCCACCTGCGCGCCCGTGGAGACCGTCACGTCCTTGGCCTTCACCGCCGCCTGCTGCGTGTACCCGGCCGTCGTCTTCGCCGTCGCCACCGCCGCCTCCTTCGCCTTCTCGGCCGTGGCCTTGGCGAAATCCGCGGCCGTCTCGCCGGTGCTCAGCGTCACCTCCTTGCCTTTCACCGCCGCCTGCTTCGCGTACTCCGCGGCCGTCTCCCCGGTGCCCAGCGTCACGTCCTTGGCCTTCACGGCCGCCTGCTTCGCGTACTCCGCGGCCGTCCCGGCCGCACCGGCAGTGACATCCTTCACCTTCGCGGCCGCCTGCTTGGTGTAGTCGGCCGCTGTCCCCGTGGCCTCCTGGGTCTTCTCCGCCGTGGCGCCAACCGCGCGCGTCGCCGTGTCCTTCACGCCCTGTCCCGCGGTCGTGCCGGTCTCCCTGCCCTTGTCGTGCTTCGCCGCCGTGTCCTTCATGCCCTGTCCCGCGGTCGCGCCGGTCTCCCTGCCCTTATCGTCGTGCTTCTCCACCGCGGCACGTGCAGCCTCCGCGGTCGAGTTCTTCTGCGCCTCGCTGCCGTGCTTCCCCATCTCGTCCTGCCTTGTCAGATGGCCGCGGGCTTGGCCACCCTCCTGCTCGTTCTTGGTTTGCTGGTGTTGAGCCGCGCCGCCGGCCGACGCCTTGCCCCCGTGCGCGGCGGCCGGGCTTGTCCCCAGGGCCTTGTTGCACCTCTCCCTGGCATCGGCCGCGGCGTCCGCCAGCCACTGCTGCGCCTCAGACTCAGAGCCGTGGCTACCGCGGCCATGGCTCTCGCCCTGCTTCGCGCCCTCGGCGCGGTACTTGCCAATCTCCTCCAGGTTCATCGCCTGGCCTTGGCCGGCCTCCTCGTGGCCCTTGCTGGCCTGCTGCTGCTTCCTGGCTTGCTGCTGTGACGCCATTGTGCGGCGAGCGCTAGTGGCTTCCGGCTTGGTGATGGCGTACGTGCGTGATCGCCGGGAGGATTTATAATACCGGCGTTGAGCGGTCCGGGTTTGATCGCCTAGGTTGCCGTGGCACCGGAGCGTGACGCGTGTCGGGAGGAGCTGCCACGTGCGACGGAGCGGATGGGATTCGAGGAGCTCGTGGTGCGTCAGCGGCTCACCGAGAGGGGGACAGGGGAGCACCATCCACCACCACGCAGCGTGTGCCGCGAGGGGACACGAACACGATGCGACTCATCAGAGTCCGTGCGAGCCCATCTCATCCGCACGCGCGTGGACGGACTCTTTCCGATTTTTTAAATTATTATATTATAGGGCCATGCCCCTGTCTTAGCATTAGCAAAGACACCATCAGGCTTACAGCATTCAGGTGGGATACACCTGTCCATACAGTCTCATGAAACACCCTCAAGTTTACGACAGAAATCCTCAACGAAGCACCAAGAAAAGCTAACTAAAACTGATGCAAAACTCTTTCAAAAACAGCAAGCGAAACGGATTCTTATCACTTCTTCATTGTTTCAAAGTCGACCAGCTTCAACCAGGATCTCTGCTTCTTCCCATCATTTGCCTTAGTACTTTCTGAAAGCTTCCTCTTCACTTCCTCAGGTACAGGCTGATCATCCCAGTTATGTGCCAGCTGGAACATCAGGGCATCTCCTATGCCCCTTACTTTGCTCAGCCACAAATTCTTGTTGGATTTGTAGCAATGTTCTTCAGCTTCTCCAATCTCAGCAAGAACTCTTGTTTTTTCTCCTGGGGACACAGGACAACCCATGCCTGCAGCATAGCTGCAATTCTCAAGAGCAGGAGCCTCAAATCCACCCAAAACTGTCCCTGAAAACAAATGCCATTCCTTAGCTTCCAAAGCCCCCACAGGGCTGCAGCACAAAAGGAATTGCATAGTAAAAATTTCTTATTACTTAACCACAACTGTCCAATAGACAGGAAATCCTGACCTACATCTCTATCACAAACTTCAGAGAAATAAATCCACATCTGCTTAGCTACAGCACACTCAAAGAAAAGGTGCTGCACTGATTCATTTTCAGAACAGAAAAGGCATGTCACATCATCTAATTTCTTTCTTATACTCAGATTATCACGAGTCAAAGTCTTATTTTTAGATAACAGCCATAGAAAGAACTGAACTCTAGGTGGAACTTTGAGATTCCACACTGCTGGAACATGGACTGGTGTTATGCCTCTAAAATTAATCACTCTATATAGAGATTGTGAGGAGTAAATGCCAGCCTGTTCGCTTGGTCGTAAACGATCGTAAATTTTCAGCCAGAACAATATTTTTCTCTCACACCAAACCAGCCAGCAGTAAATAATCTACGATCGTTTACGGCCTGCCAAACAGTAAAAGAGATGGTTGAAGCCAACTGTACAATTTCTAGCCACATGTTATACAATCTCTGATTAAAACCTCTTCTAAAGGTACATTTCAAGTCTACACCATCCCAAAGCTCAGCTACAGTTCCAGCCTGTTCCTGTACTAACACATACACATCCCAAAATTGAATAGCTAAGCTGGTGGAACCTAACCAATTATCTTCCCAAAACTTGACTTTCTTTCCATCACCTATTTTCCACCTAAACCCCATCTTAGCTGCAGAAGCGGCCCACATAAGACCTCTAAAAAATTGTGAAGCCCCAGCAGTATTACTACAGAAGAGATTTGGTCTATTTGTATTATACTTAGAATCTATGACTTGCTTCCACAACTTATGCTTATCTATGTTATATCTCTTAATCCAAGAAGCTAAAAGACAAATGTTTAAATCTCTTAAGTTAGGGATCCCCAGACCACCAAAATCCTTCATCATTGACACTCTCTCCCAATTTACCAAATGTATCTTATGTCCTCCAGGATTATCATCCCAGAGACAGTTTGCTAAATGTGTATTGAGAATCTTAATGGCCCACTTTGGAAACTTGATAAAGGACATGAGGTACACTGGTATACTAGTAAGACAAGCCTTAATCAAAATCACTCTTGCTGCATAAGAGAGGAGTTTACCCCTCCATCCAGCAATCCTTTTGAGCATTTTGTCTACTAACGGCTGTATATCTTCTCTCCTCAGATTGTCATAGTGTAGTGGAACCCCTAAGTATTTAATCGGAAAACTTCCTAAGGGACATGCAAAAAGGTGAGAAATATCATGAGCTACCTCTTCTGGCGGATTCATCGCAATTATCTCACTTTTGTGAAAGTTAACTCTCATCCCTGATAGCTGCTCAAACCACATTAAAACCCCCTTAAGATTAAGTAAACGATCTAGATTAGCATCAGATAACAGTATTGTGTCGTCTGCATATTGCAAAGAAATAACACCTCCCTCCCTGAGATCAGAACCCAATCCTCTAATCAAACCCCTATTTGCACCTTTAACTAGCATTCTTGTTAGCACATCTCCTACTATATAGGTTAAAGAGCAGAGGAGATAAAGGATCTCCCTGCCTTAAGCCCCTACCAGTTTTAAAAAATTTACTCTCCTCCCCATTTAACATGACTCCCACAGAGCCTTGTTTAATGATTCTCTCAATCCACAGAATCCAAGAAGAACTAAAACCTCTAGATTCTAAGATCTCAAAAAGAAACTCCCAGCTCATTCTATCTTAAGTTTTTTCATAATCTAATTTAATGATACACCCTGGTTCCCCACTTTTTTCTATACCATGAACTATTTCATGGGCAACCACCACACTTTCTAAGATATAACGCCCCTGTATGAAAGCACTTTGCTGAGGAGCTATCAATCTATCAATAATCTTTCCCAATCTCAAAGTTAAAGCTTTTGAAAAGATTTTAAAACTACAATCTATCAAACTAATGGGCCTAAATTTCTTCATTGATCTTGCTCCATCCTCTTTTGGAATCAAAGTGATCATGGCAAAATTTAATCTATGCAAGTCTAACCTACCCCGGTGAAGATCATCAAACATTGCTAAAAGATCTTTTTTAACTATATCCCAGTACTTCTGATAGAACATGAAAGAGATTCCATCTGGGCCTGGTGCACCATCAGAGTAGCAACTAAAAACAACTTCTTTGATTTCTTCTTCAGAAAAAGGTCTTGTGAGCAAATTATTCTCCTCTTCAGTAACCAAGTCCTCTCTACTCCAGAAGTCAGCAGCTAATCTAATGTTCATTCTATTTTCCTTAGCAAAAGTTTTTTTTATAAAAGTCAACAGCAATATCCATCATCCCCTTCTGGTCTTCTACTAAACCATTAGGACCTTCTAGCACTTCCACTCTCTTTTTCTACTTCTTTGGTTTGCAACAGCTTGGAAGTAAGCTGTATTTCTATCCCCTTCTACAATGTTTCTATCCCTAGATCTCTGTTTTGCTTTAATCTCCTCTAAAGCCCAGATGTTGTCTAAATCCTTAGCTACTTTCCTAAATCTAATTAGCTCCTGTTCAGTCAAGGCTCTTGACTCCATCTCTTTTTCTAAATTGTTATATTCTAAGGCTAATTCTACTTTTCCTCTATTCATACTAGCCACTTCATTGGCAGCCCAGCCTCTAGCCATACGTCTAAGAGTTCTAATCCTAAACTGCCAGACATCCAAGCTATTTGTTGCCTGACAAAGTTGTTCCCAAACTTTTTCTACCATCTTATTAAAACTTTCCTTATGTAGCCACCATTTCTCAAAACGAAAAGTTTTTTCCCAAAGTAAACATTATCTCCAGTATCCAAAAGAAGAGAGTTGTGATCACTAGGAAACTTATCTAGACCTTTCACCCTAACTAGAGGAAAAGCTTGTTCTCAGTCAGTTGTGACAAAGATCCTATCAATCTTAGCTAAAATAGGGTAATTCTGCTTATTGGTCCAAATAAACTTGATATTATTTGGATTCAACTCCACTAAGGCCCATTTATCTTAGCGCTGCTGGGCCGACGGGAAGACGGACTCTTTCCGATTCTCCCGGCGCTCGGAGATAACGTGGGCTAAAACTACCGGGCCGGCCTAATAATATCTTAGCGCTGCTGGGCCGACGGGAAGACGGACCGAGACGGCCACGAAGCCTCTCGTCGCTGGCGGCCGCCCTCCGTCTTCCTCTGCATTTCGTCGCTGCCTAGTGCCTGCTTGCCTTCAAACCCTACCCCGTACGGGCGTCGTCCTACGGGCACCCTCACCACCGAACACCCATGGCGCTTGCGCCTCCTCTCGTACGAAGGCGAGCGGCGTAGCTTTAACGGGGTCTCTCTCTGCCGCATCCAATGGTACGGCCGTTTGAGGGGCGCCCAACAGCTGCCTGGCCACGGCATGCTCAGCGGCGCTGGGTCCCTTGTCGCCGTCCCTGAAGTCTAGCCTTGGTTGTCGATCTTGCCGCAGATGTGGTCCTCCATGACTTCTCCACCCGGGCGCCCATTTCGGCCACACCTCGGTCGGTTGGTCGGACGCAATCCCTTGCCACGTCCAGCTTAATCTGCAGCCCGTTGCTTGTGAGGGTTTCGATTTATTAACATCATTACACAGTTTAATGTTCAGGATTGACAGAGTTGTGCTACCTGGATGGTTGGTTGCTTCATTGATAGGATTCATTGTGTTTACAGATTGTCGTATTTTGGACGACGCCAACCTTTGTTTCCGCTGCGCCTGCCAAGCTTGTGGATTCGTTGGGTGCTGCTCAAAATTTGACATGCTAGTTTATTTGGGATGCTTATTTGATAACATAGCTCATGTGCTCTAGGCATGTCCTGTGTACCTGATATGGTGGCTTCTTTTGGTGCCATCATGCCAACATATTTGATGTCAGGCTTTAAAGGTGCTATTATTGCCTCATTGATTCCTGCATCTTATAGTATTTTTGTTTGCGCCTTGTTCATATATAAATATCCATATCATATCTACTGAAACAATCATTTGCAGACGATACCTTATGTTTATGTGGAACTAGATTTTCTCTTTTGGTTGACCACTATAACCAACGCGATGGTGCCAAAC